GGGGTCTGTTCCCCACCCGCAACCCACTGGTTGCGCTAGTGCCCTCTTCTGGGGCTCGTCATGCCCCCTCTGGGGCAATATGGCACTCCCCCTCTTTGGGGCTTGCCGTGCCCACCTCGGGCTTCTCAATAGACCAATATGGCACTTCCCCTCTTTGGGGCTTGCCGTGCCCACCTTGGGCTTATCAATACTGCCCCACTCTGGGGCTGGGGTCTACGTACCCCGCATACAACCCGGGGTCTGTTCCCCGCCCGAAACCCACTGGTTGCGCTCAGGGGCCCCACACCTCTGGGGTCCCTATGAGGCCTCCCCCAACCCCTACAGCCTCACGCAAGCCTCCGGTGTAATATCAAAGCCAAACATAAACTAGAGCCTCCTGGCTGCAACGCAAACCTAAAGGCTCCTGGCTAAACCATAGTGCCCAATCCTCTCAGGGCTATAGTGAGCTGTACTTGCAAGTCAGCTTCTTCCCATATCTCAGCCGAGGGAGCTCCTGCCTCTCCGGTTGCTGGCAGGGAACTGCCAGCCTCGCCTCAACCCTGGGCTTTATAAGGGCCAGGCCCTGCCCCCTACAGGCAGCTGACTCTTATTAGTCGCCCTGGCAACCCACAGCTGTACTCATTATCTGCTAGGGCCTTTCTCCAGCAGTTTTCCCCTCTCTAGGAGCAGGCACCGAGGTGCCCTGCGACAGGGATTTTTTTATGTCAAAACTGCAATTTAAAAAAAAAGAAATTACAAATTTTAGAAGTGTTGGCTGTGAGTGAAAAACACAAAAATATATATTTTATCAGCAAGGATCCAGGTTTGCCTTTTGCAGTAAAAAACGTGGATTTTCTCATTTAAAGAAAGGAGAAACCCGCAAGAAACCACAGGTTTCTCCTTGCAGGATGGCAGCGTTCCAGCCTGCAAGGGGCTGCTTGGGGCTGACAAGAGCAGGACGCAAGGGGCGCCACATGCATGTGTGCGCGCCTACACATGCACGTGGCTAGCAATACAGCCAAACAGCGGTGAAAAGTAGCTCCCCCAGCTACTTCCAGATAAGTTTATGGTGGGGAAGAAAGGGGCTCTAGGAGGTGTGTGGGGGTAGGGGGCATAGGTGACAGACAGCGGTTGGCCACAGTGAGGGAGGGAGTGGGGAAGGGTTGGCGGCTGGGGCTAGGGGCCCCACCCAGCTGAGGCAGTGCATAGATCCCAGGGCACGAATGTGCAGCCAAGGGGCCCAGCTGGGGAGTAGGACAGAGCCATGGGAGGCTTGTTCGGGGATGGGGGGGGGAGTTGGTGGGGCAGAGTTGGCTCCCTGCCACTGCACGCACTCCCAGGTTGGGGTCGAGCACCAGAGACAATGCATCAGGGAGCGTGGGGGGGGCGGGGCACATGCCCCCCCCCCAGATTTATGCATGGGGAAGATGCAGGCTGCCTGCTGTGGGGCTCAGCGCTCCCCGCCCTCCTGCCCTCCCCATGGCCCACCAGGCAAGATCAATCGTGGGACAACGGAGCAGGGCAGGGAGCCCCAGTGGTGCTGCCACCAGAAGTCCCATGCCAGCCGTCCCACCAAGGTGAGCCACCCCCTTCCTACCCCACTACCTCCTGCAAATGGCAGCCAGTGACATGGCACTGCTGCCCGGCTCTGGCTGGTATCCATGGGGCAGGGAACGGGCAAGATAAAACCCTGGGTCCCATAGCTCTGGCAACTGGGGGTCCCCTTCAGCAGGGCTGGGGAGGCAGGGGGCTGTGAGAGGGTGTAGGTTGAGAGTGAGGGACACTGGTAGGGCCAGGAGGCTGCTTGTGAGGAGTGAGAGGCACTGGCAGGGCTGGGGGGACAGTGGCTTGGAAGTGATGGGCAATGGCATGGGCAAGGCTGCTTGCACAAAGCAGCAGGGAGAGACACCTACAGCTGGACCACAATGTGGTGAGCAAAGGGGGCAGGGGGAGCCCTAATTTTTCACAATAAAAAAAATTGTGTCCTACTAATACCTATATAGTGGTGTTTGTTTTTAATCATGGGAAAATGTTTTTTTAATCAGAGAATTTATGTTTATCAGAGAATTTATGATTTTTAAACAGAAAACCAGGATCCCTGCTAATCATGGTACCTTATAGACATACTACATAAATCAGGACCAAATTCTATCACAGGAAGCTTATGTCTGTACATTGACATGAACCACATGAAACCTTCAGGGGCTGACAAGTGACTACTAGATTAATTAGCCTAAGGTTGCTGTGACTGGGCAACACTGCATAACATAAAAAAGTTGATCAGAAGTGGCTGATAAATATTCACATGATGGACACTAAGCTCCTTGCATCTGGGACCATCTTTTTACTCCCTTTGTAAAGCATCTTGCACAGAGTCTTGGTCCATGACTTAGGGACCAGGTACCATGATAAATCAGGATGTGCAAAGAAAGAATGTCTGTCTCCCTCCAGAATGTCAGGAAGGACTTGGTCAAAGTTGGCATAGAATTCCTCCTTGGTTTCATAGACAGTGTCAAGAGTCAGGGCATATGTGTTGATGAAAGTGGCATATTGGCTCCCTGCCAGTTTGAGATGGAAAATCATAAGTTGCTCACTGACACCGATAAGGGACTTGTTGAGTTGGTTTAAGTTCATTCTTGATGGCAAAACCAACTCCATGAAACTAGCATTCTCCTTCCTGTTTACCCTTCCAGATGGAGGTATAACTGACTTATTCTTCTCGGCAATTTCAACATCAGTCAGAAGGAATCTGAGCCTCTGGAACAGAACCATAGGCACAGGAGTAGGATAGGTCAACTCCAGTGACATCCTCCTCTTGACCAAATGTACGGAACATAGACTCACCATTACCAACAGCTTGTTCCACCAGAAAAATAGGCACAAAACCCCATGGTAACATCTTCAATCTAAGCACAGGCACCAATCAAGCAAGACCTTTTCCACCAGTGGCTCAATGAAAAACTGGTGAAATTCCAAATCGACAACAGGAGAATGTCAGCAGCACTTGGAGTGCCCTCAAGTTCACTGTCATCAGTGCCTTCACCAGTTTTTCATTGAGGCACTGGTGGAAGAGGTCTTGCCTGATTGAGTCCTTCAACGTTGATCTTCTATTGGCATTGCTTCTGCTGCAGCCATCATTTGGGAGCCAGTTTGAGTGACATAACCGAGTGGATGACTTGGTGATTGACCCATCAGTCATCAGCTCCTAGCATAACTCAGGTGATACGGACATTTTTGCAATCCCATGCACCAACCATGACATAGTCAATTACGTGCCTGTGCTTAGATTGAAGGTTTTACCATGGGGTTTTGTGCCTATTTTTCTGGTGGAACAAGCTGTTGGTAATGGTGAGTCTATGTTCCGTACATTTGGTCAAGAGGAGGATGTCACTGGAGTTGACCTTTCCTACTCCTGTTCCTATGGTTCTGTTCCAGAGGCTCAGATTCCTTCTGACTGATGTTGAAATTGCTGAGAAGAATAAGTCAGTTATTGTAGTGTATGACAATTTCCTTCCTGAGTTGGTCTCTTTTGGAGTAGAGTAGGTGAAGTAGATGATTTCTAATTTTCTCTGAAGTTCTTCTGCATAGCTGGGAAACATATTTGGAGTTGTGTGTAGTAGTCAGGGGATTGAAGATGTTTAGTCCTAAGGTGAAGTAGATGATTTCTAATTTTCTCTGAAGTTCTTCTGCATAGCTGGGAAACATATTTGGAGTTGTGTGTAGTAGTCAGGGGATTGAAGATGTTTAGTCCTAGGGGAATGAAGTTGTGTTTCTTGCAAAGGCTTAGAAAATATATGTCGCTGTTGAGTCTGGCTTCTTTCTTTTTCATGTTTTACAGTTTCCATTTCAGACGGCTGAATTCGATATCTTCCATGTTGCAGGGGTTTAGGTTGTAGCCGTGTTGGTCTAAGGATATATGCAGACAAGGTTCCTTGGGTGAATTTGATATCTTTTATTAGACCAACCCAAATGGTTGGAGAATAGTTATTAAGCAAGCTTTCAGGTTCAAAAACCCTTCGTCAGGCTAAGGAAGCTTCAGCAGTTGGTGTGTGCTCTTCCTGGATGGAATGAAAAGTAAACAAGCCAGGGGCTGGGCTGGGCTGGGCTGGGGAGTCAGTTGCCAGGCAGATTGTACTGTATCAAAAATCCAATGTCTATGTTTAGTCCATGATCTCAAGTATCCAGCATGTACTTATGCCCAA